TTAAAAGATGTTGGGCAAAAAAATCCGATAATAGGTGATAGGTGTCTTCCGGACTTGAACCTTCACTTAGTGACTATTAGGTATATCTAGTAACACAAGGTTTTGAATTAGACTTTTTGAGCTAGACTTATCCTAATAACACACATGATATGGTAACTAGACTAGTTCTAATGGTTTTGCGCTCTTAACGGCCATACGTTGTATCTTATGTTCATGAATTGCTATCTAGGGATTAGCCCGAATCTCAGAGTAGCGGCCTCACTATTAACAATCATATAGGTAAGCCCTCCAACGGTGTTTATGATCACCGCCCCATAGATTTCTGTCTTGGACATATTTAGAGAGAAACTCTTCCTTTCCACATCACATATTTAAAACTTAGGAATGAGATCGGAAAATTCCCCTTAGAAATAACTAGGTGTGAGACCCATCCGATGGACGGGGAGCACATATACATAAACATTACTACACAAACAAATCAAAAAAATGTTAATATTTGTATTGATTTTTGTATTTTTATAAAATATATAATGAATTCATTAAAAAATATAAAACACAAACATCGACAACACTTTACCAAACGAATACACTGGTAATTTATTTAACGCAAAAAAGATTGTTAAGAAATTAAAAAAAAATGAACTTTGAATTAAATAATTATATATCTTGCAATATTTCTTGGTAGACTACATTGGTAGTCCGGGGTGGAAAGGTCAGTTAGGGTGGTTAAGAAATTATGATAAGGAATTTTATTTTATTTTTTTTGAAAAGGTTTATGATAAGGAACGGTTACTACAGAAACAACCCTAACTTGTTGTAGAGGCCATCCAATTTTTTAATAAAAAAATTAAAAAAATAAAAAAAGTTGGATATCAGGACCTTTATTCCTTGTTTTGGAGTAACTTTGATTTCTTAGCCCCGCTATATCAACCCATCACCATAGTATTTTAACTCAATTCCATAGTTGAAGCTAAATTATAGAAGTTTCAAGTTGGCCTAATTTTTTTAATTATTTTAATAAATTATTAATATAAAATTCTTTTTCAGTTGCGTCTTTTTTTAGGAGGAAGAGATCCGTCTATCGGATTTGCAGGGATTTAGTCGAATCAATATAGGGTTTGGACTTTTTCAGTTGCATTTTTTTTTTTGTTTTTGGTTTTTATTGTTTTGTTTTGTGCATTTTTATATATCTAAAAAATTTAGAAAATGCCACATAGGATAAAATCTTATGTGGCATGTGCTCCTTAACGTTATATTTCTCTCTCTGGTTTTTACCTTAGTATAATATATAGAAGATTTGTGCTGATTTTAGTCATCCATATAGTTTCGTTTGTACCTATTAAACCTCCTTCATGGGATCTCCAATCACAAAAGTTAGGTGTCCACTATGATGACTTCTTTATAGGCTTTAAATCTCATTCCCCTCGATGATTTATTAAGCTAATCTTTTAGAAAGATTTTGGCTTAGTTATATTATGCCCCACAATCAAGACTTGTCTTGACTTAGCAAATATTTTATAGCATGCTTCTAGTACCACTGTTATTCAAAATCTATCCCGACTTTGTTGAGTCTTTGCTCGATTATAATTCTTTCCGACGTTGAAGAAAATTGATTTCTTCAAATATATTAAAATGGGACTAATATTGGACCATCTATTTTTATACGTTTACATATTCCCTTAACTTGTAAATGCTCCATTTTAGCTACTTTGATTCCACCCGAACATAATATTCAATTTTTATTGGTCTTTTTGGGTCACATTTGGATATATAGGCACCACTAACTGTGTTACAATTTCATTTCATTATTTGGTAATCACCACAGTTTAGTAGTCAATAGTCTTATTATAAGAAATCACCATGAAAATGACCAATAGTTTATTATTAGGAACTACTAAGTAGCCAATAGCTTAAGGAGTCATAACATTGATAGATTGTCTACTACTAGGAACTACTAATTCAATTATAACTTTGCGCATCATTCATGGTCAGTAATCTTATCATTACTAGGAACCATTTCTATTTATGGATGGTCACTAGCCTCATTATCAGAAGGAACCATTCATCAGATAATTCTCCAAATACACCAAGTAAGGTTATGCAATTTTACCATACAAAAATATTTTTGGTGCAAAAATCGACATTTGAAAATGAGTGTTATGTTTTTCAAAAACTAATTTACCACAACTTCATGCTAAATATAATTACCGAACGGGACTGGCAACCAAATAAACACAATAGTATATCTTCAAATAATTGCTGAATTAGGTAGATAGAACATTATTGCTCTATTTCTTATTTATTTATTTATTTATATAACACTCTTTTTCTTCAAATAGGCAGAAATATGTTATATGTAACTTATATTAATAAACTTGAAATTAGAAAGAACCTCTTAACCGCTCATATTGTGATCATTCACTTCCAACATATCATTTTATCAACCACCGCATTATGATTAGAAAATTTTATGATATAGTTAGGAAAGAAAATCATAAATGTAATTTAAAACATTTAACATTCCGTTAATTCCATTATCAATATTACCTTTCTTAAATGGCATTTACTTTCTTGACTAAATTATAGGCACAAATAAACAACAACCAACAAAATTTATGAATACTAACTTGACTAAATTAATAACATAAATGTTTAAACATAACTGTTACCAATTATAACTTCATGTATTCTTGGCCATCATTTTAACTTAATAAATTCAATTGATGTTGATAATCGATAAAGAATGAGAAAATATAACCAGTTCATATTTTCAAAAAAAAAACACACAAATAAATAAATCTCCTTTTTGTTTTTGTTTTTTTTTACGAATTTCATGGGAGTTGTAACGGAAAATTGATTACACAAATATCTAATCTAAGCAACTCTTTTGGTGTAATATATATGTGCATTACTATTTATTTTTTAATTCTAAACCCCGTAGTAGTACTTGAACATTTTGACAAGCTATTTCATTTGAAAATACCAAATCAAAGTCACACATAATTAACAAGATTTATACAGGCCACCATTCCTCAAAATAAAAATTTGCTTACTTGGTTTCACTTTTGCTCACTTACGATGTAAAGTGGCCTTTCACTCCAATTTGGTAGTAGAAGTGTTAGAACAGAAAATCAATCGTTCTCCCATAGCCGCAGCGATATGAAAAGACCAAACAATTTTGTGCATACTTTCATACTCATAAAAATTATTGTTAAGACTCAAATAAACCTAACAAAAATTGTAATTGTTATTTTGAGGAGACAAGTGACAATCCATTTAAAAATTTCATCAAAGGATTTAAGAACAAGTAAGATTACTAGGAACTAGCTTCGTTACCGTCATACTTGTTTGAAATACGAACAACGATTCTGTTTCAAAAATAATACAACAAAAACTATTGTATTCAACAAATATCTTATCTCTTCTTAGATTCTTAGAAATACAAATCTAAATCACCAATTAAAATACAAACACATAAAAATTATGATACGTTAATAAGTAAAAGACTGAGTTTAAAAAATGGAGGTTGCATTGAGGCATGCAAAAGGCAATGTTCTAAGAAGAGATACGCCCCCTCAATACAGAGTTTGACGACGTTCTTTTCTGAAGATACAATAATCCTCATAGGAGTCCCGGTGATGGCAGAGCTCTCTATATGCAAACTTGATCACGATCCAACTTGCCAAACAAGGAGATGAAATAGATTTGTTTATTGTAAAATGGATTGAAAGACAAGAATCATTTAATTGTAATATTGAATTAACTTTTCAACAACTTTGCCCAACCAAAATATAAAATGTGTTTATGAAATATCAAATCTTGGAAAACAAAATAGTGTAGCAAAATAAGGATTTAAAAGATCACTCATAGAAAGGTTTGTTTTTCTTAAAACATTGTAAGAAAGAAAGTAGAAAACAAACTTAGAAAATAATCTCTCTTTCCCTTCATACATAAGTAGAAATATATATAGTCAACAAGTCACCAAATAGTAACCTCTATAACTCCCTATTTTGGCATGCCCAAGAATCGGAACCAAACCGAAAAATAAGGTTCTGGTTCTTGAACCGTCTTTAAAGGTTCTAAAACCGTAACCGAACCATGTATTGGTGGTTCGGTTAAGGTTCTATTATTTTTAAAACCGTGAAACGGCAGTTCTAATGGCGGTTTTGAACCGTAAAAATTAGCAATTCTATTTCTGGGTATATTGGTGTTTTTTATAACATTAAAAAATAGAAAATCTGCCAAAATAGTTATTTTAGCGTTGTTTGAAATGTAAAAAACGTAAACCGGTAGTTTAATTATCGGTTAAACCATTGCACATTTATTTTTTCAAATAGCACACAAACTATTTTTTTAATAGATAATGTTTGTAAAGATGATTTGTTGATTGGAGTATTTTTTTTTAAGCACCATGTGTATTATTACTTTTCACATAGTTAAAAATTTGAAGTATACATGCCAAATATCGTCCTATTTTTTTCAAATATTAAAAAAATGAATTTCTTACTCCATATTTCATATTACTTTTCAAGAGAAAAAAAGATTCATTTAACCAAAAAAATATATATATAATAAAAATATTATGACAAAAACCGCCACAACTTATAATCAAAACCAGAACCACAATAGAACCAGAACCAAATCGAAACTGACGGTTCTCGAACCGTAACCAAAACCATAGTATAAAGGGGCGGTTTCGGTTCTTATATTCCGGAACCATCGGTTCTAGAACCGACCTTGGGCATGCCTATCCTTATTATTTGTCATCATAAATGTAGGATTAATAGTATTTAATCTCAACTTTAACCACCATATTTATCCCATATTTATTTTAGAAATAATATTAGGGAGTAATAATATTGTAACAACTTTAATTTTTAATATCTAACAGAACTTCCATACTAACAATAGATAATTTATGAAGTATGTAGATGTAGTTGTGGTTAATACATACTCATATTTGTTTGATGCCGATTTCACAGTTGTGGAGAGATGTTTCCATGGATAACTGCATTCAAAATGCATCAGATGATCTGGAGTCGTTAAGACACATTTTTTTTAGCAAGTACAATTTCACGCCTTACTATTATAGCTTTATGAAGGATGCGCTGAGATTGATGAGAGTGTTTTATATGTGTGGAAGGAAATGGGGAAACAGAGTGCAATGTGAATCTGCATTGTCTAATTTGGAACAAAGCATTCAAAATCATTCCCTTGAGATTCAGTTTGTTTGTCTTACGTTATTAGAGTCTCTTGATGATTTGGCCACATCTTGGAATTTGAATGATTGTGAACCTATTTTCATTATATGGGTCATGGCGAACAACAAGAATCATCCTTATGCCTGGATTAATGACTACTTTCGTGAAATGCTAAATGCAATTTTGAACGGAATGGAGGAACTGCACCAGATTCTCCTCTCAAATAATGAATCTCAAGTAAAAATGATGGATCTCTTAGATATCATTGATTCCCTTCTTCTTATCGATTTCGGGAACTTTGATCTACCTGACCTGAAACAGAGTTTGATGTTCTTGAAGAGCTTCCTTCGTTTTGTCAAATTATTACAAGGAATTGAGCATAAACAAGAATTGGTAGATCTGTTGATACACGTTAAAGGCGTTTTGGTTGATGTTGCTTCCTTCATTTTCAAGTATTTGAAGTGGTCCTTAAGTCCATCTTTTCAGCGGCCAAAGCCTAACAATTTTAGAATCGAGCCCTTTGAATCTCAGGTTTGTGGGATTTATGTTAGTGTCTTGCGCCAAGCTTCAGAATTGTGGGAGTCATCCAACAATCTGCTTGAAGGATACCAAACAGTACTTCTGATGGCGGATTTTCTTGATTCTCTCATTTTCCTGCTTTTGAAATTGTTGTTCTGTTGTACCCGCGGTCATCCATACATCTCTGACCATCAAATGTATAAGCTGTATCAGGGGCTTAGATTCTTGAGAACCACTCTGAGACAACAACATCTTGATAAGGTCGAGGAGTTGTATGACAAAATACATGATCGTACCGGAGCCTTGATTTGTCAGGCAGGAGTTATAGTGTTCTATCTTTTACAGGTAGAAGAAGAAATAAGCTTGGGTGAAACAGTAAAGCTTCTGTTTTTGGGTTTTGAGGAAAAACTCATGCTTGTCAAGCCGGAAGAAGAAGAAGAGGCACCAAGAGATCAACTGATAGCATGTCCTCAAACAAACTTGCTTGGTTTTATCGATTCCATCTTGGAGAAAATGGAATTTAAAAATCAGGACGACGCTGCAGATTTAGTGGTTGCTCCAGAAAAGAATAAGTTTACCATTATCCATGATGATCTTGCATATCTAAGATCCTTTTTGGGTACTGTTATGGGACAGCTGCATGATGACAATGGAAAGCACCAAGGTCTCTGGCGTCGTGTTGCGACGGTAGCCTATGAGACGGAATTTGTCCTAGATTCTCTACTGGTTGGAAACGCTGATGAGAGTTTCATTCAGCTCTTTGATACTATCACAGCGGAGATTGAGCTTCTTAAGACTGAGGCATTGGGAAGTTCGCCAATTATCGAAGTCCAGGGTATGCCTAAAGCCGACAATCAAAAGCCTCTGGCCTCTAAGATTCTAGAATTTGATGAGCTTGTGGTAGGCTTGGACGATGAGTCACAAGAGATAATTGGGCGACTAACAAGAGGAACGAAAAGTTTGGATGTTGTTTCAATTGTAGGCATGGCAGGGATAGGGAAAACTACCTTGGCGAAGAAAGTTTATTGTGATCCCTCCGTCACCAATTACTTTCATGTTTGTTTATGGTGTACTGTCTCCCAAATATGGAACAAGAGCAGTCTCTTGTTTAATATTATAAACAGGCTTGGTGAGAAATCTTTGGACGAGCTATCAAAAATGAGTGAGGATGATTTGGCTAACACCCTCCGCAGATGCTTGAAGAGAAAGAGGTATCTTATCATTTTGGATGATGTTTGGGATGCTGAAGTATGGATTGGTTTGAGAAATTCATTTCCAGATGATAGCAATGGAAGTAGAATTCTGCTAACCAGTAGATATGAGAATGTGGCTTTAAACATCAGGCCTGACAGTAAGCCTCACCTTCTTCGTTTCCTCACCAATGCTGAGAGTTGGGAACTATTACAAAATAAGATGTGCTTTGAAGAAGGTTGTCCCCAAGAATTACTTGCACGCGGGAAGGGAATAGCTACCCGTTGCAAGGGATTGCCATTGATGATTTTAATGGTTGCTGGAGTTCTTTCCCATATGGAGCCTTGTACTTGGGGAGAGATTGAAGAAAGTCTAGAGAATGGTAATCTACCTACTACAGATGAGTGCAAGGAAATTATAGAGTTGAGCTATCTTCATTTGCCAGAGTGTTTGAAGCCGTGTTTTCTTTATTTTGGAGCATATGAAGAGGATGAAGAAGTAAGTGTTCATGAAGTGGTACGGTTATGGATTGCAGAAGGCTTCGTTAAGGAAACTGAGAACGAATATGTAGAGGATGTTGCGATGGGCTACGCGATGGAGTTGGTTCAAAGAAATTTAATTATGGTTGCTGAGAGAGGGTCCAGAGGGAGGGCCAAATCTTGCGTCCTTCATGACCTGTTACTTGACTTATGCCGGGCAAAAGGCAAACAAGAACACTTTCTGCATCACTTACACTGCCATGAACTTGGAATTTCAATTGACCCAAAAACGTTGTACCGGTTACATGTTAACCCTGATATGGTGAAGGATTTTGAGGAGTTAATGGTTCTATTTCCTCGTTTACGCACTGTGTTGTTCACTGACAAATACACAAGAAGTTGTGAAGTTCATTGGTATGATATCCTATACAATTGTTGCCATTCCTCCAAACTTCTAAGAGTTTTGAGTTTGAACAGAATCTTTAGGTGGCCTTCCTTTCCATGTCCAATTCAACTACTTGGTCACTTGAAATACCTCGCATTCGCCGTTGAATCAGACGCATCAGTTAACATCCCATCCTCAATTGCCTATCTCTCAAATTTGGAGTTCTTCATTATTCAGGGAAGTCCACTTGAAGTGTTGCTGCCACAAACTGTATGGAATATGAAAAAGTTAAGGCATATGAAAGCAAAGTCGTGGGTTTTTGTGTGGGGATTGCCTTCAGAGAATCCTAATATTTCAACTTTAGAGAATGCTCGCGCACTGTGCGGCCTATTAATTTCCGGTGACCAAGTGATGGAAGAATTTACTCAAAAGTTCCCCAACGTTCGCCGACTTAGATGCACTCTCTGCTTGGTTGAGGAGGACGATGAGACTTCAAAGTTTTTCACATTCGATCTTTTGAGTCGACTTGAATCACTTCACATCGATCGTTTGAGTGGCAATTGTGTTTATCAATTCCAGTTTCCTCAAAATATAAAGAAGCTAACTCTAATTAACCTGGAGCTTCCATGGAGTGAAATTTCAGCAATTGATAGACTGGTAAATCTTGAGGTCCTCAAGTTAGACTGGTTTGCATTTGCAGGGGAAACATGGCACGTTGGAGAAGAAAGCACATTCCCAAAGCTGAGATTTCTGAAATTGGAAAGGATGGATTTAGTTAGGTGGACGATGGATTCGGAGGAATGTTTTCCTTGTCTCGAGAAATTAGTTGTTGGATATTGTCGTCAGTTGGAAGAATTACCTATCTATTTCGCCCAAAGTTTAACTCTTCAGATGATTCAGGTAATTGAATGTGATCGTGCTGCTGATTCGGTAAAGAAAATTGAAGAAATGAAGACGGATTGGGGAAATGAGGATCTGAAGATCCATCTTCAGAATTCAAACTGGGAGGAATTGATGGGAGGATATGAAACACGTAAGTCCAAAAGTACATCTAATCTTTTTACTTATTTCTTTCAATCGGAAAACATTACAAATATCTACGTTCTGTGTTGTCTTAGATTTCAGACTTTGTCTCTTTTATTGTACCAAAAAAAAGAAAATTTAAAAAAAATTACACGAATTTGCATAATTTCCCTTCTACCCCTTTGTGTCATTAATGAAAGAAAATATATTTCCATTATTTTAATCGAATAGAAAGATCTTTTCGTAGAAATTAGTTGACTAAATTGGTTCTTACCACCACTATCATTGTTATTTCATTCACTTCCTTACAAAATTTTAATCCTATATTTAGTACTCTCTTCATCCGAGAAAATATAATCTACTTTGTTGTATTGTTTTAGTTCAACAATGTAATTTTTTTTGTGAAAAAAGAGAGAACTGCTAATTAACTTATTAATTTAATACATCGAGTAAATAAAGTTCACACAACACAATAGTTGTCCAAATTGCAAAAGGATTTAGCTTTTGGTTATTTATTGAGGTTATTTACATTTTTTTTTCTCCTCTACTTCTATTTTATGAGGTGTGTGTTTCATTTATTTTGTTATTTTCCAAGAATGATTTTGGCAGCTCTGCCCAAAATTGTCACCGGGGATATCGAGGAACAAGAAGGTTGCTCTATGGTGCTTGAGAGTTGAGAGTGTATTAGTGGGGGTTTCCAGGAAATTTTGTCCACATGTGTGTTCCCTTGCACACGGGGGGGAATACAATTCAACCAATGCTAAATTACACCAAAAGTGTGCATAAAAGTTTAAGTTTTACTTTTACAGATAAAAAAAAATCAAAATGTATGTTGCATATGTGCATTTCTACTTTTACTCGAGGCCTTTTACCACATTTCACATCAATAGTATTTATCATAGGCTTTATATTATCACTCTATGAATCCCTTAACTTTTTCATTTTTATTTTGTTTCACAATCAAAACTTAAACAATAAATTTAAAACTAAAACTAAACTAATCCCAATCATGTACTAATCAAATAATAATTCATTTTAACTAGAACTAGATAATAATTTACTAATAAAAAAATCGAGTAATAATAATGAAACCCTCAAAATAAGTAAATATAGATGCATTTGGAACTCTAGTGGTCATTGTTACAATTACGAAGAGGTGGAGAGTAGCTTTAAAATTTTTTAAATTTCTAGGGAGTGTTGAATATGTGGTTTACGTTGTATTCTAAATCTCTTCATATATGCAACCGCCGATTCACCGCACTACCGCCGGAACTTCTCCCAATTTGACAAAAATTCACCCAAAAAATCCAATTTTTATCCATATTATATTCTCCTTGTTAGACTCAGAATTATTCAATAAACTTTGGTTATTTCTCAACCATTTTTAAATAAAATGATATATATAGTGAATAAAAATAATGACAAAACATGGTGACTAATGTGGATTAATCATGACCTAGTTTTTTATCACTTTCCCGTTGAAGTTTTATTTTTTCCCGAAAATTATATTTTTAACATTAATTAACAACTAGACATGTTTAGTAAGTATGTGATGTATTTGTCTTTTCATTTGTCACTATTCAAATTCACTATAATGTTTCACTACTTGTATTATCGCTCTAATTATAATAACTTATTTCACTATTTTCTTTCATAATATTATGTTCCATTTTCTTTTATTTTCAAGGAAGATCAATATTATTAGTACGTAGTTCACATTTCAGCTTCTTCTTCTTCCTTTTTTTTTTGTTTTTTTTTGGGTTGCCACAGGCGTGTTGGATTTTTTATCAACAGAAATCTACATATAAAAATATAGTACTCTCTTCGTTCAAAAATTATTATTCAGTTTGGATTTTCATTTATAGCATAAAATGAACTAAAATCGAAAACTCAAATTGGACAATAATTTAAGGAGGGAGTAAGTATTTCTTATTAATGGAAACATACGTCTAAAAAGCATGCGTGAATTTGCAAGAGGGATTAGTTATGATATCCCACTAACATTCATTTAAAAAAAATGTTAGTTTAGTAGTGATTAGACGATATAGTGGAAATAAACAAATTGAACTTGTTTGTATTAGAAGTTTAATTATATTCACTTGTCAATCTCATCATTGTTGATTTCTATTACATTGTCAAATCTAATATTTGGTTTACCTACTCTGGTGAGATTTGACCTCATTATTTTCTTATTTTTCTTCTTTGGTGCGTATGAATAATTGTTGGTGGTTTCGTGGATTATCAAGTTTCTAATGAACGGTTCTGCAAAGGGCGGGGAGATCGTGACTTGCAGCCATGACTCAAATAAAAAACAAGTTGAGAGGAAAAGTCTAAAGAGAGAAACAGGAGAAAGAGTCGAAAAAAGTCAATAATGCTAAATTATGTGCAATTATAGATAAGATCAGCATTTCGAGCGAAGACACTGATTCCTTCTCCTTCTTTCATTCTCACCTCACTCTTCAACCCCAATCCCTGTGATTCTTCTCTACCAAAGATTGGAAACAAAGGAAAAAAAAAAACCCCCCCAAAAAAAAGAAAGAAAACGAAGAGGACTTTTGTATAATTTGCTCTGTTATAAAACATGTCTTCCGTCAATGAGGTAATTATTCTTTTGTTACAGATCTCAGCTAAGCTGTATTTAAGTTTTGCTCCATCGATCCTTTGTTGTGTTTTTGTTTCATTATTTCCATTTTCAGTGATAAATTCATACTCGGTTCGAATTTCATGTTACAGATTCAGTGAAATTTTTAGTTGTGGAATATTTTTAGGGCTTACGCTTCATATTGGCATAATTGAATTAGGATTGTCTTGAAATTAACTAAGGGGTGCCTGGTTGAGATGTGATGTGATGTGGTATAATAGTTTGGAATGGGATTTCATATAATTATCCTTGGGTGTCAAAAACTTTATTTCTTTAACGGGTGAGAATGTTGACATATATATACTTCCGTAATAATAACAGGGCTTTTTCCTACTAAATGAGATCAGTTATATAGATCATAAGTTGCTATCGTGATCGATCAGTACATAAATTATCGGAAAATTTTAAATATTTCAAGTCATTTTTGATAGTTTCTTTTCATGTTTTTTTAGGTCTACCCCTACTCATTTTAATTTGAATTCTTGATTATATAGTTTCTACCCTCCTAACCAGGGCACCGGTCTGTTACGCACATATCTAAACCATCTCAAGTGATCTTCTCTCATTTTTTCGTCTAATAAGGCTACCCCTACTTTCTCTCTAATAACAATCATTTCTAATCCTATATAATCTATTATGCCTGCACATATATCTTAACATGCTCATCTCCGCTACTAACATTTTTTTGTTCATTTTCATATTTAGTAGCCTAACGCTCGGATCCCCAAAGCATCGCTGGTCAAAGGGCCATTATGTAGAACTTACCTTTTAAGCTCAATAGTATCTTACGATCACAAAGTATTGATGAGGCGCTATGCCATTTGTTCCACGGTTCCACTTGGTTTGAATTCTATGTGTTGCATCTTCATCAATGCTATCATTTTCTTCTGAAATTGATCCTAAATATTCAAAAATTTTAGATATGTTCACATTATGTTCACCAATCTTAACAATACCATGTTATTAGTCCTACGGTTACTAAAATTTTAGGTATCTTAAAATGACATTTTAGCCCTACTTATTGTAAAATTTTTATGTTCTAGCGCCTCCCTCCAAGTCTCTAACTTAACATTTACCCCCTCTCTCGTTTCATTTATTAGAACTATGTCATCCGCGAATAATTACATGCATTTAGGGATGGCTACTTGTAAATGTTTACTGATTTCATCAATTACTAAAACAAAAAGGTATGCGCTCAACGCCAACCCTTGTTGTAAACCAACCGTGATGGAAAAATCATCCGAATGACCTACGGGAGTCCTCACACATGTTGTATTATTATACATGTCTTTAATTACTTCTATATATCCTACTCTCGCTCCCCTCTTCTTTAATACCCGTCACATTATATCTCCATTAACCCTATCATATGTTTTTTTAAGGTCAATAAAAACCATGTGCAAATTTTATTTTCTCTCATTAAATGACACATAATCTTCTTATTAAATATATAACTTCCATTGTTGATCTTCAGGGCATAAAGCCAAATTAATTTTCCATTATGTTTATCTCTTGCCTTAACCTAGTTCTATTACCCTTTCCCACAATTTTATTGTGTGACATATTAATTTTATGCACCTATCGTTAGCTTGTATATCTCCTTTATTTTTGAACAAGAGTATCAGTGTACTCTTCCTCCATTAATTAGGCATTTTCATACTTTTTATGATTATGTTGAATAACTCCGTAAAACACTTAATCCCAAATTCGCCAAGGCATCTCCACGCCTATATTGGGATATCATTGGGACCTATGTATTACCTTTTTTCATTTTGTGCATAGCTTTCCCAACCTCTTTAATTTGAATTTTTCTATAATATGTGAAATTTTTATGTTTCTCACTTCGCTCTAGTTTACCTAGTGTTGTTTCCTATTATCTACTTCATTAAATAGTTTGTAAAAATAATTCTTCCATCTATCTTTAATTATCTTATCATCCACTAAGACATACCAATGTTCATCTTTTATGCATTTAATCTCAGTTAAATCTCTTGTTTTCTTTTTCGTTATTTTTGCGATTTTATAAATGACCTTTTCTCCCTCATTGGTATCTAATTTTTTGTAAAAGTTTTCAAAACCTTTTATTTTTGCATCACTTACTACTTTTTCCACTTCTTTTTTAACATTTTTATATTTGTCTACATTATCGTCGCTCCTACAAGTGTATGAAGTTTTGTAGTAATTTTTTTTCTCTTTTACTTTTTCTTGAATAACTTGTTTCCACCACTACGATTCTTTATTCATTTTTAATCTTTTGAAACTCCTAGCTATTTTTAGCAATTACTCTCACTTCTTTAGTTACCCTTTCCCATATTTTATTGGGGTTTTTTTTTCTATGTTCCAATAAACTTTTTCAAGTAACATATTAGTAAACCTATACTTTTTATCTTTATTATTAAGATTCCACCATTTTATCCTATGTATTTTAGATGATTTTCTCTTACATGTAATGGTTTTAATTTTTGGATCTATGACTAGCAGCCTATATTGTGTTGTTACACATTATCCTGGTATTACCTTACAATCTTTACAAAGTTTTATATCACTTTTCTTAGTTAAAAATTAATCAATTCGTGATTTGTTAGAGCCGCTTTTATATGTAATCAAGAGTCCATCCCTTTTTATAAACAAGGTATTACATATGACAAAGTGTTGGGGATTTATCCAGTGGAGAAAACCCGACATGGAGCCCAATAAGTAAGATAAGATTCATCTGAACTCAAAAGCTCAAGCTAATGGGTTCTGAGACCATCTTACTTATTAACTGATTCACATGTCCTCGTACCTCCGATGTGGGATTCATAATCCTTGCCACATGACCCTCAACATTCTCCCCCGTCATGGGCAATCTCCACATCGGGCTTCCAAATTATCTTGACAAGCCCAAATCTGTACTTCACCTGAGTAACTGGGCCGCCCATCCTTACGCTTCCTCTTATAGTGGGCCTTTGACTGCCTGGGTTCAGTCAGATCAACCAAGATAATTTGGGCTAAATCACCTACCCAACTGGCCCAACCTAGGCTCTGATACCACTGTTGGGGATTTATCCAGAGGAGAAAACTCGACATGGAGCCTAATAAGTAAGATAAGACCCATCTGAACTCAAAAGCTCAAGCTAATGGGTTCTGAGACCATCTTACTTATTAACTGATTCACATGTCTTCGTGCCTCCGATGTGGGATTCATAATCCTTGCCACATGACCCTCAACACAAAGTCATATGCCACCGAATGGTCTAATATAATTTTACCTTTATTATTTTGTACCCCAAAATCATAACCTCCATGAACCCTCTCAGATTATTCATTTTGCTTCCCAACATGTTCATTTAAATCGCCACCTATAAAGATTTTTTTTTCATTTTGAGGGATCGATTGAATCAATGACTCCAGATCTTCCAATTTTTTTTTAGTGGTTTCATCTAATCCTACTTGAAGTGCATATGCACTAATTATATTTATGGCTTCATTTCCTGTTATAATTTTCAAGTTTATTAATCTATCCCCCTTCCTAACCCCTCATTCCCCTACTATTTGGTCTATATATAATGAATCAACTATAATTCCTACACCATTCATATTACTATCTTTCCCACTATACCAAAGTTTGTACCCTCTGTTGTCTAAAATTTTGACTTTTCACCTACCCATTTGTTTCTTGCAAACACATTATATTTACCTGTCCTCTTCTCATACATTCTTCTAGTTATAATGATTTACCTTTTAAAGACCCTGTGTTTCAACTCCCTATTCTACAAGTTTTATCATTTCTATGATTATTGTTAAGTTGTTTTCTAGGTTGGGCATTTTTCTAGCTAGTTCCCACTACTCCCACGCCCTTATGAGAATGTAGTGGCCCTTGCCAAGAAGTGAAAGATTTAACTTGTAATGTGTTCTTGGCGTACGGGGTCTCTCGCACATTTTGCACTACACTCAAGTCCCCATAGAGATGTAAAGGTTCTTCCCTAGAGGATGAAGTCGGACCCTGCGGCGCGCCACTTACAACGGTGGCGTTCTAATATTTACACAATTTCTTATATGATCCATAATCATGAGATTGACGGGGTTTTTAAATGTTGGCTACCAACGTAACGCAAACCCTCCTCCTTTACATTGGTTTGAGACAGTCAATAGTAAACTCTAAAGAATGAATGAACTCGAGAATTTACTACAGGTGGAGTTAATGTATAGGAAATGATGAATCCCACATCAGAGGTAAAAAAAAATAAATAAAATATTTAATAATTAAGATGACTTAAAAGTATAGATAATTATTAATTTATGAAAATGACGGGACCTTTATTTATGTAGGAAATTTCTAAAGAATTTATTACTTTATTATTTTATCGATTTTTCATATTTTGTAATGGTCTAGTTGGGACCAAAAAAATTTATTAATACAATTTATTAATTTAGATAATTGTTATGGTATGAAGACTATTTAATTTTAAGTTATATATCTACGGAGTTAATTTTTAACTAATTAAGTTATACATATAGATTAATATATTTATACCATTTTCACAGTTCCGGAGAGACATTATTACCATGGATAATTGTATTCAAATTGTCTTAAATGGTATAGAGCCATTAAGACGGATACCTGTGGACTGGAGGCATGAGCCGCCATATGAACGTATAGAATTGTGGGGATTGGCGAGAATCTTTTATATGTGTGGGAAAAAGTGGGGGAAAGGTGAGCATTGCGAATCTGTACTGTGTACTTTGGAGGAAAAAATTTACCAGTGTTCTCTGGAGGTTCAGATTATTTGCCTCCCAATCTTAGAGGTTGTTGACCATCGGGTGTGGGAGCTACTGGCCCAATATTTTCCCTTCATGCAACAGGCCCAATATTTTCCCTTCAGAATGATTTGGCCAATTATGAGAGAAATGAACGAACTAGACCAAATTCTCTCAAACGGGCCATTAGAAACCTACCCTAGCTCGCAGATGGAAATGGAGGATCTCCTGTTTATCATTGATTCCCTTCTTAGTTTTGATTTTCACAGTATTTATGCAACTGGTGACCTGAAAGAAAGTATAAGATTCTTGAAGAATTTCATTCTTTTTGTCGCATTCCGAGGACTTGAGCCCATGAAGCTAGGAGATCTAACAACACACGTCAGAGATGTGGTGGTTGATGTTGTTTGCTTCATTTTTAGGACTTTGAACCGCCCACATGATGAATCTTCCAGCTGGTCAAATCTTTACAAACTCATAGACAGAGTTGAGCCCGTGGAATCTCATGTTTGTGAGATTTACGTGAAAATCTTGCAGGAAGCTTCAGAATTTTCAAACTCGTCGAACGATCCAGCTCCAGGATGCCAAGCACTTTTGTTGGCGGATTTTGTTGATTCTCTCATTTTTCTTCTTTCTCAATTATTTTTTCGTTGTACCGGTCAGATGTACATCTTTGACCATCAAGTGTACAAACTGTACAATGGGCTTAGCTTCTTGAGAACCACTCTCAGCGAGCAACATGATAAGGGTGATGAGTTATATGAAAAATTGCGTGATATGATCCAAGTCTTGATATGCAAGGCAGGAGTTATAGTTTGCTATCTTTTCCATGGAGAGAAAGAAAGAAGCCTGGGTGCAAAATTAGAGCTCCTTTTTTCAGATTTCATGGAGAAATTCAAGCTAGTCAAGTCGGAAGAAAAAGTGATACCAAGATCTCTACAAGCATCACACTTTCCTCAAACAAACTTGTTGGGTTTCATTGATTCCATCTTGGAAAAAATTAATTCCGTCGATCAACATGAGGCTGATTCAGTAGTTGCTTCATTTAAGAATCAGCTTCAAATCATCCTTAGTGATCTTGCATATTTAAGATCTTTTTTGGCTAATGTTATGGGGCAGCATGATCAAGATGGGAAGCTTTCACTATGGAGTCGTGTCGCGGATGTAGCTTATGAGACGGAATTCGTCTTTGATTCCCTAGTGACAGGAGGCACTCTACAGAGCTTCATCATGCCTCTTAACACTATTATAAAAGAGATTGAGCTAGTTAAGATTGAGGCACAGGGAAGTTCTCACAGCACTAGGAAAATCACTAATGTCCACAGTATACCTAACAATGAGATTAAAAAGCCTTTAGCAGGTAACATCCCAAAATTTGATGAGCTTGTTGTGGGATTGGATGATGAGTCAGATGAGATAACATATAAACTCAAAAGAGATTTGAAAAGGTTGGACGTTGTTTCCATAGTTGGTATGGCTGGGTTAGGGAAAACGACCATAGCCAAGAAAGTTTATAGTGATCTCTCCATCACCTTTCACTTTCACGTCCGAATTTGGTTTAATGTTTCACAATCATGGAACAAGAAAAGTTTGTTACTTGAGATTTTAAGCAGTCTTGATCTGATATATGCCACCTATCAAGAAATCAGTGAAGATGATTTGGCTAATATACTTCGAAAATATTTGAAGGGCAAAAAGTATCTTGTCATCTTGGATGATGTTTGGGATATTGACGTATGGGATAAATTGAAAATTTCATTCCCAGATGATAGTATGGGAAGTAGAATTCTCATAACGAGTCGATATGAAAATGTGGCTTTGCAAATCAGACCAGATCATGAACCTCATCATCTTCGCTTTCTTACCAATGCTGAGAGTTGGGAACTATTTCAAATGAAGATGTGTTTTGAAGATTCTTGTCCTACGGAACTACTTGCTCGTGGAAAGAAAATGGCAACACATTGCAAGGGATTGCCGTTGATGATTATAGTTGTTGCCGGATCTCTTTCCAGTATGAAGCCAGATACTTGGGAAGAGATTGAAGGAAGTCTAAAGAGAGTTATTCTACCTACCACAAATGAGTGCAAGGAAATTCTAGAGTTGAGTTATCGCCATCTGCCAGATTATTTGAAACCGTGTTTTCTTTATTTTGGAGCATACAAAGAGCATAAAAAGGTAATGGTTCATGAATTTTTAAGATTATGGATTGCAGAAGGCTTCGTGAAAAAATCTGAAAAAGAATGCGTGGAGGATGTTGCGGAGGGTTACATGATGGACTTAATACAAAGGAATTTAGTCATGGTTATCGAAAAGGGTTCCAAAGGCAGGGTGAAATCTTGTGCCCTTCACGATCTATTACTTGACTTCTGCATGGCAAAAGGCAAACAAGAAAACTTTCTGCATCGTTTTGATCGCGATGGTCTTGGTACTTCTACTCAGTCAAGGAAGCTGTACAGGTTACATGTTAGCCCTGGCAGGGTTGAGGATTTTGAAGAGTCAGGTCAATTCTTTCCATATTTACGCACTCTCTTGTTCAATGATGATTGCCAAATAGGACATGGAACACAGTGGTTCGGTATCATGTACAATATTTGTCAGTCCAAACTTTTAAGGGTTTTGTGTTTGAACCGGATCTTTGAGTTTCGTTTCTTTCCAAGTGCAGTTCAGCTACTAGGACACTTGAGGAACTTGACATTGGCTTTTGATCGATCAATTCGGATGCCATCACTTAGCATTCCATCATCAATCATCCGCCTCTCAAACTTGGAGACTTTTACTGTTCTTGGAGGCGTAGACATTTTTTTGCCATATGCCGTATGGAATATGGAAAAGCTAAGACACATGATTGCACCTCTGGGGGCTTTTGTGTGGGAATTGCCTACAGAGAACCCTGAACATCTTTTACATTTGAAGAGCTTACAAACTCTTTCCAGTATATTATATTATCATGACCAAACATTGAAGGAAGTTACTCGAAACTTTCCCAATCTTCGCCGACTCAGATGCATTCTCTCTTTAGTCGAGGAGGAATATCATGCCTTGAAGATTTTTCCATTGGATTTTTTGAGTCAGCTTGAGTCACTCCACATCACTCGTAAGCGGCAAGATTTTTGTGTTTATCATTTTCAGTTCCCGGAGAATCTCAAGAAGCTAACTCTATCAAACCTTGGGCTTGCATGGAGTGAAATTTCATCAATTGCTGGATTGCCAAATCTTGAGGTCCTCAAGTTACTAGAATCTTCATTTAAAGGGAAAACGTGGTATGTTGAAGAAGACACATTCCCCAAGCTCAAGTTTCTGAAATTAGAAGAACTGGATGTAGTTAGTTGGACTACGGAATCGGAGAATATTTTTCCACGTCTCGAGAAGTTGGTTTTAAAGAGATGTTGGTCATTGGAGGAATTACCTTGCTGTTTGGCTTCAACTCTTGTGATGATGGAGGTTATTTACTGTGGAAGAGCCGGTAACTCAATAAAGCAAATTGAAAAATTGAAGACATGTTTTGGATATGAGGAAATGAAGATCCTTGTGCACCCTGCACATTCGGAGGAGTCATCACCTTCGCAATCCAACAGTGAAACCGATCACGCTTCATATTCAGAAGAATCATTGGATGGTGAAACAACTCAGTCATCAAGGGATAGAACAGGTAGAAACTACAAACTTCCAATCAACAAGCAATTTTTGTTTCATAACTTCATCAAGTTTCCAAACTTAGCATTCCTTTTCTTCCATGGTTTCCTTAAAGAAAATAGACAAAACGCACTTTTAGTCCCTAAATTATGGGGGATCACCATTAATTTTTTACTGACAAAATTAGTCACCGCCTTTTCGTTTATTCAACAGTTTTGTTCGATTTAACAGTCAACTAATGGTCAACTTCTTTTTCTGTTAAATTTTTTATTTTTTATTAATTTTTTTACTGAATTGGGGCTCACAATATATTTTCAAACAACAAAATCAATCCCCAAATATCTTTTTTTTTTCAACAATTTTAGTTACTTTAACAGAATCTTTAAAATTTAATGGCACAATTCAATTTTTCTTTAAATCTTTATTTCTTATTGATTACGTAATGGATTGTGGGTCCCACAAGTCTTTGATCAGATTTTTGTTTTTTTAAAAATAAATTAAAAGAATAATGAAAGTATTTCTGACCAACTTCCTAAACACCAATATACTACTCCCAAACGTCTCAACATCACCTCCCACTTGGCAAAGTAGCCCAGAAAAGGAGCTTCATTATTGATCGTTTTCGTTATCCGTTTTTTTTGGAATATATTTATCGGGGAGCAGAATATTTGGGATTTCGGAAATTGGACGAAAATATTTTCATTATTTATTTAATTTTTTTTAAAAAAAAACATTCTGATCAAGGACTTGTGGGACCCACAATCCATTAAGTAATGAATAAAAAATAAAAACTTAAAGGAAAATTGAATTGGGCCATTAAATTTTTTAAAATTCTGTTAAATTGACTAAAATTATTGAAAAAAAGATATTTGGCGACTGATTTTATGGTTTGAAAATATATTGCGGGTCTCAGTTTAGTAAAAATTAATAAAAAAAAATAAAAAATTTAATGGAGAAAAGAGTTGACCGTTAAATTGACTAAAACTGTTGAATAAACGAAAATGTGGTGACTAATTTTGTCATTAAAAAATTAATGGTGACAAAAAGTTATGGCCCCTATAATTTAAGGACCAAAAGTGCATTCTGTCCAAAAAAAAAATGACCATTTTTGTTTGACAAAAAGAGATTTGATATAACTTTTTAGAAAGACAATAATGTTTCTTCCTTATAAAACTCGTATCCGACATGATCAGGTCCGGTATCACTATATAAGTTTTACGGGCTACTCTTCACATCAACAATTAGTTTTGAAACTTCTATACTTTCAACACTACTGTTATCTTTGAATTTTTGCTTCATTGGAAGATTTGATACCGATACACAAATACACATTTAGAATAAATTAGTTGAAGTTCATTATCAATTTGGGATTCTATTGTCGAAAGAAAGTCGTTTGCTTGTGGTCATTTAAAAGGTGATTGTGGCATATGGTTCAGAGTTCCAAGTACTCGATGTAAAAATATGTATGGTAAGGAGTGCTAACCCATAAGTGAGAAAGGACAATATTTCTCTGTAAAGTCGATCACGTTTACTCTTTTATTCTTTCTTTCTTATTTTATGAATTGTGCTTCCATAATGATCTTGCTGTTTTTGCAGAATGATTCTGTTGTGATTTTCTAGAGAGAAACACCGGTGGAGACTGAACAGGAGAGCATCGCGCTATGAATTTATGCATGCTTGGAAGTTGTCTTTCGTTATGTTTTCAAAGTTGTTGGGTGTGATAATAATACTGATTTTAATATGTTTCTGCATAAATTTGAAAGCAGTTTGTGTTTTTAAGATGTTCATGTATATGAATATGCACCGTTAGACATGGATTAAATTTTTTGGTATAATTTGAAACTTTGGCATCTGTCATTGGTGTCAAACCATTCATACCCGTAAAGTATACTTCGTTAGACGTCCCGAAATTATTGTCCAGTTTGGACTTTTACTTTTAGCAAAAATTATACTAAGAATAAAAATCTAAACCAGACAATCATTTTGGTAGTGAGAGAGTACAAGCATTCAATCATCTTAGTTCGGAAATTATCTCAGATCTAGTTCTAACTTCTGGTTGAAATGGCAAGAGTTCGAAGTCTATTGCACCATCCTGTCCTTTTGGAAGTTGATAACAAAGGGAATTTTAATCTCTTTCTCTTCATTACAGTATCATCAGTATTGCAGCCTAGTCGATCATATGATAAAAGACCTCACAACCTTCCCCCCCCCCCTTCAAATTGTTATGGAATAAAAACTGGTCAGCAGGCAACAATCGGGATATTGAGGAAGAAAAAAGGTCGATTTGTGTTGCTTTTGCTATATTTTCAAAGTTATTGGAGTATAAGAGGAATATTATTTTTAAACCTATATTAATTGGAATGTAAGGTTGTGTTTTTGAGATATGTTATAGGTAACACTTTGTTGGCTACAACCTTTAGATACGTACTGATTTAATTAATATTTGTGAGTTTCCATTTGAAGTTGAAAAGACATGGTGTCTATCAAGTGTGCTTTGGCCAACTTTTTAATCTTAATTTCGATTCCTTTGATCAGCAATGTAATAATAATAATCTCTTCATGTCATCACCGCTCAGTTTCTCTTTTGACATTCCGTAAGTTACATCCAGCCATGATTGACAAGTTGATGGGAGTTAAAATAATAGAGATTGTACGTCATTGTATTCTGATTTACATTATACACAATATATATGTATATATATATATATAGACAATAATGAAATATATATACAAGGCTATTATAGAAACTTTATATATTATAATACGCCCACATATTATAATACGCCCCCATAAACTGATGGCGGACAAGAGAGAAGCCAAAGTTTGTCCCAGAAACGAAGGAATAAATCCTTAGATAAGGGCTTGGTTAGAATGTCAGGAATCTGATCAGCAGCAGACACAGAATATATCGAAACAAACTTCCGCTAAACATGATCTCGAGTAAAGTGAAAATCCACCTCAACATTTCTGGTACAGGTATAGAACACGGGATTAGACGCAAGAAAAACTGCGCTACTGTTGTCACACCAAACCGAGGGAGAATGACGCAATGAAACACCCAACTCAGACAACAGATGACACACCCAATGCAACTCAACACAGACATTAGCCTCAGTAGACAAGCGAGCCACAGTGGGCTTTCTTTTGAGATGCCCATGCAATGAGATTAGGTCCCAAATAAATGAGTAAACCAGTACTAGAACAACGATCATCTGGACAACCAGCCCAGCCACCATCACTAAAGGAAGGAAGAGTTCCCATATTAGTGGGATGCAGAACTAAAACAGGAATCAACGGTGCCACGAAGATAGCGAAGGACCCGTTTGAGAGCCTGAAAATGAGAAGTGTGGGGCTGATGCATGAACTGACAAAGCTTATTAACCTCAAAACAAATATCTGGTCGGGTGAGAGTAGTATACTGCAAAGTACCACACAGTCGGCGATATCGCATCATAAAGAGACAATAGAGTACCATCCAAATGGGACAACACAACACCAGCCTGCACACGGGTGGAAATAGGCTTGCAAGTATGCATATTGGCAAGCCGTAGTAAATCAGTAACATCTTTGCACTGAGAGAGTAGCAAACCCTGGGATGTGCGATGCACCTCGACACCAAAAAAGTAACTCAAAGGACCTAAATCCCAAAGAGAAAACTTCTTAGCAAGATAAGAAATAAAATTCTGAACCAAACCAGAAGTGCTGCCCGTAATAATAATGTCATCCACATATACTAATAGAAAACACAACTGAGAACTATTGCAGTATACAAAGAGAGAATGATCACAATGAAACTCCACTAATCCCAAGGTGACCAGAAACGTAGCCAACCGGAAAAACCAGGACTGAGGAGCTTGCTTAAACCCATATAAGGATTTATGCACTTTACACACATAATAAGGGTGCACCGGATCAACAAAACCCTGAGGCTGAACCATATAGATAGCTTCACTAAGAACACCATTCAGAAAGGCATTACTCACATCAAGCTGAGAAATCGACCACCCACCAGCTAAGGCAACTGTCAAAACCGAGCGAATAGTTACCGGCTTAACAACCAAACTAAAAGTGTCAGTGTAATCAATACTAAAAGACTGAGTGAAGCCTCAAGCCATCAATTGAGCCTTGTAGCATTCGATGGAACCATCAGCATAGGTCTTATCTTATAAACCCATCGATTTTTGACAACATTTCCAGAGGAAGTAGGGGGAACTAAGGTCCAGGTGTTATTTTTGAGAAGAGCAAAGATTTCATCCTTCATGGCATTTTGCCATTGAGGAATAGAATTGGCTTGAGTGAAAGATGTAGGAGAAACAGACATAAATTGTGAAATAGAGGCAAGATGAGCCGAGGGATCAAAGATCTTCTTGGGCTTAGGATTAGGACGGAGTGCCATTGAATGAGGATGGGAAGGAGGAGGAGGAGGTGGCAGAAGGGAACTGGACTTAGATGATGGGGAGCTAGATGCAGGAGAACTAGGTAAAGATGCTAACGAAGTGGAAAGACCAGAAGAACTGGGTAAAGAGGTCATGGGAAGGGGAGAAATAGGAGGAGAAGCAGCGGGTGCAGGATTCGAAGCTTACACATTAGGAGAACTGGTTACACGCAACTAAGGGGTGGTAGGGGACTCCGGCAGCGAATATGGAGAACTAGAAATGGGACGTTTAAAGGGAAAGAGTTGCTCATCAAACTCAACATGATGATTAACATAAAGATTGATTATTCACCACATCAAAGTAGCGATAACCAAGATGAAACGGAGAATATCCAAGAAAGACACATTGAGTAGAGTGAAAAGAGAAATTATATTGATTGTATGCGCAAAGAAGAGGATAGACTGCACAGCCAGAAACGCGAAGAAAGGTATAATCAAGTGGCTGGTGATATAGTGTAGTGCGGGGTATTTGACCTTGAAGAGGTTTACTAGGGTGGCGATTAATCAAGAACAAAGCAGTTTCAAAGGAAAAATTCCAAAACCGGAAAGGAGTACTAGAATGACCAAGGAGAGCAAGGCCAATTTCAACAATGTGACGAATTTTGCATTCAGCAGTGCTATTCTGCTCATGAGTGTGAGGGCACGCTAGACGATGAGCAATACCTACATCCTTAAAGAACGAATTTAGAGGACGAAATTCACCACCCCAATCAGAGTTGACACTTTTAATAGTGGTGCCAAATTAGTTTTCTACAAGAGCTTTGAACTGCTTAAAAACATGAAAAACATCACTTTTATGCTTAATAAGATAAATCCATGTGAATGAAGAAAAATCATCAATAAAAAGCACAAAGTAGCGATGACCATTAAAGGAAAAAATAGGAGTAGGACCTCAAACATCAATGTGGATTAAATCAAGAGGTTTAGAATTGCGACGAAATATAGAAGGTAAACTAACGTATGCAACTTACTTGGACAACACGCCTCACATTTATCAGTAGACGTGGACTTAGAGGAATAAGGGACTTGAAACTGCTTAACCAAAGCACGATAGTGACTTTCTTAGGGTGCCCTAAACGAGCATGCTATTGACCTAAGGAAATGAGATAAGCTGCTGGAGACAAGGAACCAAGAGTAGGTAGATCCAACCTATAGAGGTCATTACCAACTCTACCTCGGAAGAGCAATTCTTGGTTGAGAGATCCTTAACACAACAGGAGTCAGAATAAAATTCAAAGAAACAGTGATTATCCCGTGTGAATTATTAAGTAGATAATAAAGGTTTAGTGAGATCAGGGGCATGTAGGACACGATTTAAATAAAGAGGACGAGAAGATGATGGCAAAATAGTTTGACCAACATGCTTAATAGGTAGAGCAGCACCATTAAGATGATGGCAAATC